AGCTGCTACCTATTTTTTCTGAAAAACAAGACACACAAGACTGTCAGAATGCTAGTTTAGGCAAGTAAGAGTAGCTTAAATCACAGCTGGCACTAGACATGCAAAGTAACACTGCAGTGCAAGCATGGCTGCAGGAGGCTGCCAGAGATCAGCCAACTTGTGCCCTGAAAAACCCTCTACAAAGCAAAAATGAACCATGTAGTTCCATTTTGAAGTTAACTCATAACCTGCTAAAATATGGAATAGAAAAAAGCTTAATACATACTCAAACTGGGGTTTTAGTGGCACCATGTTAGAAGCGGCTGATATTGCTACAACAGTTGTCGAAAAAGTGACATCAGCTACATCAGCGTTGCCTCCCTCCCAGGGACATGCTCAATCTGTAAAAGCTCAGACTTGTGACTTACTATAGAAAAACAAAAGCAAAGTTGAGTCCGTAATTCAACTTGTTCAAATGGTTAAATCATAAAACATTGCTCGATGTCTTGAGGTGCAAACTGTATTTTCTGAAAAACAAGACACAAGATTCTTTGACTATCAATTCAATCAAGTTAGAGCAGCTTAAATAGCAGTTGGCACTGGACATGATAAGTAGTCAAGCAGTACAAGCATAGCTGCAGGTGGCTGCCAAACCGGCCGACTTGTGCTTTGAAAAACCAGTATAAAACAAAAAGAAAAACCACGCAGCTTCACTTACTTCGAAGCTTAAAAGTTACTATTTAATAATAATACATTTAAATATTGAACGAATAATTACTTTGTGCGAGAGCAAGGGGCAAAAACGTTGCAAGGAGATAAGCTGCAAAATGGCAGGATGCTGGTTGCTGTAATTAAACAGATGCAGACTCCTGATAACACAGGATATGAATACCATATCATGTCAGCCACATCTGCCTTGACATTGTAGCACTCGCACTGCATGCATGCATCACCGGTTCACAGCAGCGTGTCGCAGCAAATCATGCATTTGCTCTGGGGGCTCAAAAATTTTATAAATCAAACATCTTTGTTTACAATTATAGGATGACTTCCAGTTTTAAATGAACGAGTGGAAATAAGTTTCATTTGCATACAGTTTCCAGACTTCTGTGTGGGCTTTTGCAAGTCGTTTCAGTTGCTTGTTTAAGATGGTGTGTCCTGGAGCATTCTCAGATTGAAAATTGGTACAACTGCAGAACCGTCATATTCAATGAAAGTATAAACAAAATATGACATCATTCGCTTCGATATTTGGAAGTTTTGAATATTCCCAAAGCCCTTCCTTACACTTCTTAAAAGGTTGGCGTCAGCCACATTAGTGTTATCTCCCTCTTAGAGACACGCTAGACGTGCAGGAATTCAAATTTGCACTTACCATAAAAAAACATACAGATTCAAGGGATTTCTGTGGAGACTCATTTGAAGCCCTTCAGCAGCGCTAAAATCTTGCGATGGGCCGTTGTTCGCTTCACTGCTCCCATTTTCTTCAACCCCTTCTCCAGGTTGATTTGGAAGATTAGTCTAAGAGGATATATTGCATCATCTAACATTAATGCCATGCTTGCTTCATGAATACTCAGCCTGGTGAAGGTAAAGCCATTTTTTTTCTATTATCAGGTCAGACTATGGTAGTGTTGGATCATGTTAAACCTGAAAGACTGCTGAACAAACACACATTCTATACACTGACACGCTGTTTATACACAAGCCCGCGTTTGCCCACACCAGGTGTGGGCACTGCGCATGCGCAGAAACCAAATTAGCGTGAAATGAAGTGTGCGCGCATGCGCAGTGCCATCGACAGCGCTGCCGCAGCTGCAAGACGTCAGTGCTGCGTGCTGGTCTATACAAGATAACCATGTTTCCCAGCCTTGAAAGTTACAGCCTAATGACAACCAGTGTTCACATGTTATCAATTCATAATAGAAATGCATCAGCGTAATTCTTTGTAAAATTAATACAGATCAAATGTTTGTGCGAGTTGTGAAAAAGGGCATTGAGGCACGATAAATGAAAGGGTGATATAGATTATGTCATTCTATGACATATCCTGTGGACTTGACACATTTTAAGATTCTCTCCCCGTTGAATAAACTCGAGACTGGCCAAAGCTTCCTTTAGATAGGTAAATTCAACACGCAAAAAGCTCCAAAACAAGACGCATACCACCTTCAAGAATGGCATAGGCTCTTTAAACATTGGCTGACGCTCGGTGACAAGGAAGCGTGCAATTGTTGTTGATGACGCCTCCTGAAAAAATTATGAGCTTGCATCTCAGACGATTTGAATCTGCAGGAACGGTGGCTAAGCTCTTTACAAACAGTCTGACTGCAGAGCCAAGATTAATGCATACAATTTTACAGTCCGTGGAACAGTGGTATCACGTGCCCTCCTGAGTGGCGCCATGCAAGTAATGAGTGGACGTATATTGCTTTAATATACACATAGAATATTATGAGCATAAAAATTAATATCAATACGATGGTCTTAGACCATGTGGTTGGGGGGAATCAGCGTACGGTGACACAGGTGCATTCTGTGAAATGAGAAATTCATCAGCTGCATTGTGATTGCTAACTAGTGAACGCGCATCACGCAGTGGTGATACACCGGTAGGAATCAGTTCATCGAACGACGTTTCCTCAACAAATCTTTTCATCAACAGCTCAAATTTTTTTTTTTTTTGGGGGTGGGGGGGGGGGGGGGTGGGGGGGTTAATAACCTGCACGAGACTGTCGCCGCGAAGCGACCTGTACGGGTCGGTTAGGTGGGTTAACATTTTTGTAATGTGCAGCCGCAGGCTGTCACCGCGAAGTGGTGTGAACGCAGGCGGGAGTGTGGGTTAACGCGCACTTCACCGATACACGCGTGGCGAAACGACCCTGCAGCGTGAAATTCGCGTAACGAGTGCCGATGAAACGTTCGTGTCGACGAAACGTGTTCATGAAAAGTTGTCCACGAAACGCACTTCCGCGAAACGAATTTCGACGAAACAATAGGGACCCCCCGGCGAAAAGAGCAGGCTACAGGCCGCGCGAACAACGTTGCGAAACTCGTAAAGCACACTCACGCACTCAGACAATGCGTTGTCATGTGCTTTACTGCAACACTCCTGCCAGCCAGCACGCGCGAACAGCCTCCCAATCGCTACGAACGACGAACCGCGCGTAGCAGCGAGCTCGCGACATGACACAAGGTTCAAACGAGTACCGGACATGAGCTTTCAATTCTGAGAAGAACGTCAAACACGAACTGAGATAGCGGCGACCGTCATTGAACCCGAAAGTTTAAAGCGACGCAAATCCGTGATTTCGTTCCTTTCGAGGAAATAAGTGTCAAAAATACGAACGCATATATGACAGTCCCCAATCAATGTTAATAAAATGAGCAGAACAAACTCACCGTTTTGATAACAACAAGGTAGTTTAACGTAGAACAGTCGCAACCGCAAAAATCACCAAGCGCCTTTACCCCTCGACAAAACAAGCGCGGTAGCAAAACAAGGAAAACAAGCGAGGCAAGCGAGCGGAGATGGGTAGATGAAGAGATAGCGGTAGAGTGATTGTACTAGACAAAAAATCTCACCTCGAGCCTTTTCGACTAAGCGGTAACTAGCGCCACCTCGTTTCGGAACCTTTATTATAAGTTGTTTAACAGTGCAATAAATGATATTTTAAAGAGTGAGAACCGTTGTCTATTACTCTAAACCAAATAAGACAATTTTCAGCTTGTTGCAAACAACTTTTTTTGTTGTTTACAGAATCGTAACTTTAGATTTACGGACAAGTCAACCGTATTTCAGATTACGGATGCTTCTCCGTAGCTTTTAATGAGAAGTTCTACGTTTTTTTACGGAACGTTTTTACCGTGCAAGACGGCTCTTTTGCCGCGTCCAATTTTTATTAATGCGAAGCATTGACTGTCCCATTGAGTGAACTGGCGTTATCAACTTTTGAAGCCGCGCCAAACGGCACCGAATTCCCTGTTCTAAGGGAGCGAAGTTTGTCGTCTGTAGCAGCGATCTGATGGAAAGGCTCCCATTGGCTGGCGCGCATCATAGTTTAAAGAAACGAGGCTCCCATTGGCTCTCGCGAGGCGTAGTTCCAAGGAACGCCACCAGAGAAGCCCTCTATATGGCGGTGCAGCGACCTGGCAGTCGATAAGAGGGAGCCGCTGATCGCTGTACTTTGAAAGAACGCCGCAACATCTCTGGCCCTGTGACCGCGGCAGGATGCCCGGTCACGGTCAGTGGTGCAGCTGAATTCCTTCGCTTTGAGAAGCCTTAGATCTTTTAACACACCAATCAGCGGTGTCCCTATCGATTGCCCGACTTCCATGCGCAGCAGACGAGCAGTTGAGATTGACAGAGTCTTCTCTCCTTCGCCAAGTACCCAAGAACAGCTCGCTATTTGTGACATGTGTGGGATACATAGAAAGCCTTGTTACGATACACTAAAAGAGCGCCTTCAGTGAGACGACTTTATAGCTGCACGGACGTGCGCAGGAAACATCAATGTTTCAACCTGTAAATTTTGATGATACTATTTTTACCTTAATTTGACAACACACGATGTGAAGGATTAATTTCTGAACAAGCTTCATACGCTCAGTGGAATATGCGTACACATGTTAACATCTAAAAACATAATCTGTTATTTTCAGCGGTTTAGGTTCATTCAATCGAAAAATAAAAATCACAGGAAAACCATTCTCTATGACATATGTGTTTGAACAAGCCTTATTTGTTATTCCAGGTTGAATCATATGCAATTCCGACGTCTTAGTTATGTTAACACGCATTATCTACTAGCTCTAAATTGGTCGCGAAGGAAAGAAGGAATGTAGGCTAAAAGGAAGGTTAGTATCCAAAATGAACGTCCACTCTTGCTGAATAGTGAGAAGGAAACATATATAAGGGCAGTACGCTTTCGGGCGTGCACGGTCTTTCGGGATTTAAGGGCAAGCAAAACCAAGATCAGAAGTTAATTTCATCTCAATAATTCATTATTTTATCTATTCAGCGTGGGACAGCGTCAGCTAGTATCTCTCGCACGAGCACTCCTTCGACGCTCAAAAGTATTGATACTGGACGAAGCGACCGCACAAATGGACAGCAACACGGACACCCTGGTGCAAGCTACACTGAGAAGCAGCTTTGCCGACTGCACAGTCATCACCGTGGCTCACCGTATTCACACGATCCTGGATTACGATATGTGAGTGGCCCGCTCCCTACCAGCTTGACCGCCGGCTTGACTGCTTAAACACAAATGTAAGAAAGCACACGCTAAGAAAACATTCATCAGCAAGGCTATACACTTTTCCAATTTCACGAGTCTTCAGCCCAATGAGCCATGTCCTCAACCAAGCACGCCCATGTTCGTTGCTTCGGAAAGCGAGGAAATCAGGCACCATACGTTCGAACACTGCAAATGGAACCAGGCAGGAGCCGTTTTTTGGAGAGGTCTACAGTCGTTGACATAATTAGAACAGCAGGGCGTGTCTCTTGAACACCTGGACTCTAGAACGCGCTCCATACCTTCTAATGTGCTTTAGATGTGCGATCCCCATCGAGGTGTATTAGACACCGAACCGTTGTCGCATGTACAGAGCTTGCGCTCAAGACAGAAAAAGAGGAGCTCATCCATGCCGTTCTCACGTTGTCAGGGGTGCGATAAATCTCTTCAAAGTACGCAAAAAATTAGGCTTAAAATGTTTCACTCACCACCGAAATGAAGGTCATCTGTACCCCTCCCGATAATGACAAGGTCGGACAGCGCAGAGTCAAACTTGGTATATATCTTATGATTGCTCGTAGTCGTCTGAGCTGTGCTTGAAAAGCGAAATATATAATGAGCTGAATCGTATACTATCAGTAGTCACATTTATTTATTCATTTATATATTTATTTATCTATTTATTCATTCCTTGCTCAGTTCCCGTGTTCTAGGCCAACCGGCTCAAGCCTCCGGTCATTCTGTTACACCTCACCCCTCCTTGTTTAAAATGAGCATTGCCGTATTTGCTCGAGTAATAGTCCCACTGTTTAAGAAGAAAGCTTGTGGGTCTGCTTTCCCGCGGTGCACAGGAATAGCGAATCACCGCCATTGGCAGAAACAGAAATGGCAGTGGTTTACGGAACATTGATAATGTCTTGACGCGCAAATGCTATCTGTTCCGATCGCCTTTTTTACGGAGAATCGTGTTCACGACCCAGTTGTTCGCCGCGTTTTTTATGCAAAGCGCAATTATTGACTGTATGCGTGCTCTGCAGGAACGTACACGCAAGGACCTTGTTCGCAAGTAGTCTGTCTATTACTTGAGCAAATACGAAATTGTTATTATCTAAACAAACGCAATAGTAGCTGATTATATTTACATGTTTGGCTTCGTGATTATTTCTTTGGTGGTCTTATCTGCAAATGCTGCAATCTCATTGGCCGCGAGTGGCATCAAGATGCTCGCCACCTGCCACGCACTCCAATTCTAATGCTGTCTAGGACCATAAGCAATTTAGCAATAACCTCCAAGGCAAAATCCATATACTCATACCATCTTTACATGGGCACACTTAACGGCAGTTAACCTAAGCCACAGTTACCACACATTACTTGCGGGACAACATTCTTCAGCTATGCAAAGCTATGGGCGCAGGCGGGCTAGAGCATCTTGAGCACCCATCAAAGCAGTGCACGCGCACTCTTCATCTCTTCTGAAATAGCTATCCGAGATTGTAGTGCCGTAAATGTGCTGGAGTAACAACGGTTAAATGTGGGTTAACTGCGGTTACGGGTGCCCGTGACACACCGGTATTAGTGGCCAAGATATAGTGATGATCCGACTTGATTACGCCCATTGACACAATAAGTCGTAAGTTCTCGGAACACTTGCACGACACATTTGTCTGCATTTAAAGCTAACACCACGTACTTCATAGCCAGTTAGAACAGGATTACTAAATTTAATTTTAATAACACCTAGCTCTTTCATATTGACCACGTTCTACTGGTACAAGGGAGCGAATACCTACAACTTAAAAATATAATTGCTTGGCAAATCTTACGCATAATTTATCATCCTCTTGCAGACAATGTGCTTGAGTCATGAGCCAAAGCAAGCGCTTAAAAACCAAACACCTGAGAGCCATGTCGCATCGAAATTGTGTTACAACTCCCAGTGACCGTGGACGCCGGAGCGCTGAAATTAATATAGCCATTTTAAGTGTAAGCTAATTAGGTCCGAAACCGAACTCGTTTATTACTTGGGTCTAAGAATGTATTGCGTGATTAGGTTGGATAGAACAATGTTGCTTGGGAGAAGAGCGTGTTGGTTCATGAAAGATGTGGTTGTGTTGTCTCTCTTAATTATGTTATTCTTTCTTCATCCATGAATAGTGTTGGCGACGCAGTAAAATTCGATGCGCGAGCTATTCTAAATCCCGACTTCATGAAGCGTTGCTAATCCAATCTCAAAATTTCAATGAAAAGATTATTTGTTTTCTTTTTACAAGCTGTTCTGTGGAATTTTACGCACTTCGCTTTTCAACTTTATCAACTTATTATTATTATTACCATGCCTCAGCACTGTTACAGTATATTAGGTGTATTGACAATCTACACAGACCAGAAACATGTTTACATAAGAAAAGGAAACGTAATTATGGAAAGGGTATACCAATCATACGGCTGAAATTACCGCACTATACACTTTTACAGTGCAGTCAAATATATACCAGAATACGTAACGACCTTACTCTTTCGCTAATTGCTCCCGAAACAGGAGTCCTATGCGACGATCAAAGGGCAAGTAACTGTATAATTGTGATCGTCCATATCAGCTCTATATTATTTCAAACATCGTTCATGTAAAGTGACGAGTAACTATAGTTGGTGGCAGGCGAAGCGTTCAGGGGAAACTGTTCTCACCCCTTTCCACTTTTGCAAAGCGAACGCAGTAGAGGAAGTCACCTCCTCTCCAGCGTTCGCTCTGCAAAAGTGAAAAGGTACGGGACGAGTTCCCCCTGAACGCTTAGCCTCTCACTAAGGTACTAAGAAATATATAAAATATTTTTTAATACATTAGTTTGTTGAAGGAACGACCCAAATCGCACAGTTCAACGTACACTCTAAAAAAAAAGCCCGTGCGTCTGCTTTTCCGCACAGAGCTCGGAGAGCCAATTACCGCAACATAAGGAGGAAGCTCAGCGAATGAGAATGCCGAAAATTATTTTTAGACCAAAAAATGCAGTCTGAGTTGTGACATTAAGCAATGCAAGCGTGACGCTTTGCATTACTTAATGTCACAACTCAGACTACGTTTTTTGGTTAAACAAATGTTTCGGCATTGTCATTGGCTGAGCTGCCTCCGTAAGTTCTGGTGATTGGCTCTCCGAGGGTTGTGCGTGAAAGTAGATGCACACACTTTTTTTAGAGCGTATCTACAAACATTTAGAGTAAACACTAAATGTACGCATCGCTATTGTGGATTCCTGAAAACATCGATTAATTTATTTATTTACTCGTAATAATCGTAACCATCATGTTCTATTTTATAGGGTTATCGTGATGGCTGATGGCGTCGTGCAGGAGTTTGGGCCCGTGACTCAACTCTTGTCAAATCCAAACTCGGCCTTCAGACGTATGGCGGGGAGTGACGACATGACGCATTTATAGGCCTCAAATAAGCCGCATCATCGGTAACCCGTGCAATATTTCGTTTCATCTTTAGTCCAGACGCGACCGACAGTACAACGTAATGGTAGCACTAAATGAGCGTCGAAAGCTCAATTCACTAGGCCTCTTGTGTTTATGATTGATTCAGCGATGATAGAACACGTACAGAAACATGATGGCGCGCTTTTGATTGGTGTATGATTGGTAGCATCAGCTCGTTATGTCGGCTGTGTGTAGACTTATTGTCAAACGAAGTATAGTGCTTTAAATGCTTCGTCCTGTGCAACGAGATAGAGGGGCTTAGAGCAATAAACTGGCAGCTAAAAGTGACCCCCCCCCCCCCCCCCCCCCCTTTACCGGGCTCCGCCATGGTGCACACGTTTGACCACTAGACCCATGACCTTATAGTTTTACGTCTACATTTTAACAAAGTACTGCACACAGATAATTGCTTATTGGTTTTTAATAAGAGTACCGACAAGTTAAGTCATGTTTCGCTCGTTTTAAGTTCAAAACGTGCCCTTAAGATAAAAACTCGGGCAGCTTCGCATTGGCTCCGCTAGATGCCGTCAGCATCGGTGCTGTATTTTGGGTTTTTATCGGAGCCAGACACTGATCTCTGGGCCTAACAGCAGAGAAAAATAGTTTATCGTGTCTTTTAAACCGATTGCAACATAAATCTCGAATCAGTTTTGCGTTTAACCCTCAGGAGTTGGTACGGCCACGTGTCTAGTGGTCAATTTCAACAACAGAGGGAGGGGTTCACTTTTGTCCGGCGAACGGGATACCAGATAATCGCTCTAAGCCCCTCTAGCTTGTTGGTACTGTGCAAGATCTGCTTCCACAGAACCTCGGAGCGTAACGACTGGCGAAGGGCTCACGCCTAATCAAGCTTGGTAGAAATTGTTGTTTTGTTTTGTATTCTGGTCTTTTTGACTCATGGAATAAACAACACGGAACCTTAAGCACTCGAATAAGCTCAGCACGAGAAATGGATGCTATGCTTAGTTTCATCTTAAGTCCTGAAGCAGCCGAAGCTACGAACGAATGGGACCGGTCAAGTAACGTCCAAAGCGCAGGTCACTAGGTTTTTTTACATTTATGATTGGTTCAGAGAAGATAAAACGCTTACAGAAAACACGACGAAAGCCATGATAGTCCCCTCTAAACGAGGTCTAGTTGGTCTACTTTCCTAGAAGCGTCGGCTACGTCTGGGCGTAAGGTGACACGACGAATAATGATTAATTCAAATATACAACAGATCTGTTCCAGAAGAAACTTTACCTGATAGCCAGTATTGTTATTATCCCGGAACATCTACTTGAGTATACGACGCTTGTTTGCAAACAAAGAGCGAGCGCAATCACACAAAAGGAAAAACTGTTTTTGATGTCAACGTTTGTTCAAATCTTTTTCCTCTTTTAGAGCATAAATTTAATATTAAATTGTCTAGGGGCGTATTTGGAGCTATGAGGAAAGTGTCTATTCTTGTTCCTGTTCATAAGGCAGGGGATACTTCCCAAAGGGGGAACTAGGGCCCCGTATCCTTGCTATGTTTTTTTGCGAAAGGTATCTGAGATAATGATGCACACCCGTCTGTCTTTTATCTTAAGCAACGTACCAGTTCTCATCAGCTTGATTTTATCTAGGGACATTCAGTCGAGACAATGTTTTGTACCTTTCTTGATTATTCAGTACCTTTTGTTTGCAATCACGGTCAAGTTGACGTTGTTTATTTTGACCTCTCGAAGGCCTCCGATTAGGTGAACCATGCTTTGCTATTGCACAAATAGTCACGAAATGACTTTAAAGCTACGTGAGTGACTGTTGCTGTGTTGTACGCATATCAAGTAATTTCTCTGATTGTTTTTGTCCGTTATCGGGTGTATCATGGGGTTCCGATTTAGGTCCACTTTTGTTTTTGATTTTTATCCATGATATATCTACTTGCGTGGTGAATTCAAAAGTGTTGTTATTCGCGGATGATATCAAGCTCTTTTTTTACTTTTAGTTCGATTGATCTCTGTGACCTTCTTCAGAGTGACGCATCACATATTTTAAACTGGCGCCCGGAAATTGCGTAATTTTTAATCCAGAAAAAGTAAGGTCTTGTTTTTCAGGAAAAAATAGGAAACTGTGCAGTATTCGTACTTACTTCATGACAAGTGCATTTTAAGAGTTTGACCACTTTGTGATCTTGGAGTTTACATTGGCACTACGCTTTTGTTTGGCTGCCATGTCATCTACCTTGTTTGTTCTTACCGGGAAGAATTAATGAATTAACTAGAAAGTTTGTGACCTATGCTTGTTTCCTTCGATTGTTCTGTGCTCTGATCAGTTCTATACTAGATTTGGATCGGTACTGTGGAATTCGCTCACTGCCCTTGATGCAGCCAAATTAGAGTTAGTTCCAAGACACCTATTGCGTATAATCAATGACAAGTACATTGGCCGTAGGCATTTTTACATCAATAAATTCCTGCTTGATAAATTAGGCGTACAGTGTCTATTCCTCAAAATATTATCGCGCGATGTTGCCTTTTTGGTATAGGATAGTTCACGGGGTCACTGACTCAACACTTTTATACACAAAGAATTTGAACGTACCGGCTCGCTCAAAAGGAGAGCTCTCACTTTTTATCCCCACAATCAACACATGATATCACCAACAACAAGAATGCAGATATGTGTAAACAATCTTGGGAATAAAAATGTGGATATGTGTGATAACTACGTAAAGCTCAATAGACAATTGGATCAGATTATTTTCCGTCGTTAGCAATGCACTGTCGTGTTTTGTTGCGCACTAGTTTTATTGTTTTTTGCATTTTCAGGTAAGTATTGCTGAGCAGGTTCTAAAACTGTAAAACTGTTTTCACTGTGCTGCATTGCAGAGCATGATTGGTTGTTTATTGGCACAAATAAAGCATTTATGATGATGATGATAAGGAATCGAACTTTTGTTCATACAAAGAGAGAAGAAACTCTTGGTTCGTCTACTTATTTAGTTGAATGCTACGCAACACATATGTGCCGTTAATGTGAATGTACTTGATGCCTATTAATTTTGGTAAGTATACCATGCCATCCAAAGGTGTTTCATTTATATTTATTATTACACCCGATTGTACAAAAATTGTTTGTTTTAAACAAGAGTTCTCATGATACCAATATATAATAAAAATATTCTACCCACGCAACTGCCTCTGTGTAAAAGATTTATATATTCATTGTGAACATACATTTTTCTTTTATTGGATCTGTTTTTCTGGGATGTTCCCTTCGCGATTTTGTTACGTTGTTTGTAACTGTCTGTATAATTCGTATTTTTAATGCCACAATGGGGGATTAGAAAGTTAATGCATCTGCTATAATTTTCTTTGCTGCCGGGATTTCTGCAAATATACAAAATTTTACCAATAAACAAATGGCACTCTTAAACCCGAACTGTGCATTTACATGTCTTAATTATATAGAGCGTTGGTGAAAGTCTTGATGTAGAGAAAATGTCAGGCCCACAGGTCGGAATTTTCTCTATTTGGTAAAAATGGGAAACCAGATTTCGCTAGCATCCTCACCAAAGTCAAGGCTTACAAAAATTGTATCATAGAAGCTTTGAGGATTTTCTAATAAATTGTTTCTTGGCTCTAAGGTTGTGTATGAGTGTCTTTATTTAAAGTTAATGCATTTGAACGGGGCGCATGTGCAAATGCGTTTGGTGATAGTGCTAGAGCTTCCCAAAAGATGCAAAGTGAAGGATTGCATCGTCAAAATGCCTTTCGTGGTTTAGTTTTCTTTCAATTCAGTTGCCGTTAAAATTCCAGGAAATTTACTCAATAAACTGTGCATAGTTGCAAAATATCGTCCCAAATTTCGGGTGTACAATAATTAATTTCGTGACTTTTGGATCCTTTTTGTTACGTTATGCGGCTATTTATATCGTCCAGTAGTTGTTCAAAGATAGGGGCCTGCAGAGCTGCTCAAGACCAAAGCGAGTCCTCTCCAATTCGACAAAGTAACACGGATGTTAACGGATGTACCCGTCCTAATGACCGGAGTGGGTGATCAACATATTTGACGTCATCATGACGTCATCCTGACTCTTGGCGGCCTCTACCGAGGTTGCCTTGAACGCCGCTAGCTGCGTTAGCCTGGGAAGGGTAGGGGGGTGTGTGTGCCCTCTCCTTCTCCGTACTCTACCCTCCTCCTTTCCTCCTCCTCCTACCCCCTTTTCCTGCTACCTGAAGTAAACTCTGAAGAAAGGAGCCATGGGCAGCGTGTCTGGTTTGCCAACAGACTGAACGCTTATTCGACGCTGCCGATTTCTTTTCTCGGCTCGGACGATCTTGATAGATCGGCCGTGGAAAGTAAATAAAGAAAAGAAAAATGTTTCGTCAGCCGCAGGAGCCGCAGTGCAGTCGCAGCGTGTGCAGCGTCACTCGCTCCCCAACACTACCCTCCTCCTCCCTTCATTCTCTCCCCTCGTCCTTTCCTACTCCTCCTCTCCCTTCCTCCTCCTCTTTCCTCCTCCTCCTCCCCTACTTCTCCTTTCCTCTTCCTCTCCTCCTTCCGTTGAATTTCCCAGCTAAATTTTCCCCTAAATTTAGCCAAAATTTCCTTGCTAAATGTAGCGGGGAAATTTTCGCGCTTATGTTAGCGGGGAAATAACGTCACGTGACCTTAACCAGTTCAGTTTCCCCGCCAAATTTAGCGGGGAAAATGGCGTCACATGACTTCGTGTCACGTTACCCATGAACAAATTCAGGTTTTCTGCTAGATTTTGCGGGAATATGGACATCACGTGACTTCAACGCCAATTCAATTTCCCGCTAACTTTAGCGGGGTGGTTGCGCCAACGGCGCCCGTTTCTGCGTCGAGCGGCGAGACGCCATCCTGGACACATTCGCACTCGTCACAGAATACTACCGTGCTAACCGCCCGAACACCTTCCACTTCCTCATCCCGAACTCACCCGGGCCGAGGCGATGGACTGGAGGCAA